CCCAGGAGGTGGTTCCATGCCACTGAGCTATGGTGCAGAGCTGCTGCGAGCTGCCAGTAATCTAATTTATTAGGGGCTTTGAATCCTTACAAAGGGTACRTTGGATACATGCAAAGCATCTGCATTATTACCATGATTAGGGCAGTGAAGGTGGAGGAAAGGGGAAGAAGGGAAAATACAATTTCTCTGCTTTCAGCAGAAAATAAATCAACTTTTACAGAGAGTTCTGGTGAAATCAAAGGCTGTGCTGTTGTTAGAAATGATTTTTTATTAAGCTGAACTCTCTCTTCTCTCATATTGTATGATATGACAGCTCTCTTTTGATGGGAAAGCTTTCATTTGGCCAGAGAAAGGGATAATTTGCTTCTTTTAAGGAGTTAATCCTCTGGTCCATTTCCGGGCTGGGAACAGCTATCCTCCCCCTTCCTTGGATCGGAGGCTGCAGCACAATGGAGATCATAACCACCTCAAATCTACACCCGAGATGGAGAAATCAGATTTCTGTCTCCAGTCATTTTTGTGGGATTAGCTAAATCTTAGATCCACACTAACCCTCCACAAAGCTGCCAAGATTAGTTAGAATTTATTTCATTCGCAGGGGAGTTTACGGTTTTCTTTCCAAAGGGATTATATCTCTCTCCATATATATTTAGAGTGGCTTCAGTCATAAAGCAGCTAGGTCAGAAGGAGAAAAAGTGTGTATGTGTTATGTGTGTGTGTCTGAAATAAAAACTCAGCTGCAAGAATGACAGTCACTTGAAATGCCAAGACAAAGCAGAGTTTCTGGATGGCTTTGCCAGTCCATTTTAAAAGCCACATAAGCTGTCCTTTTCCTGGCAAAGCCCCACTACGGAGCCAGTGGCTGCTGCTGGCACAGGATGTCTTCAGAGGCAGTGTCAGACGCCGATGCTGGCAGGAGGAGCCTGAAGAAGCCGCGTCCGTTCAGCATCGAGGACATCCTCTCCAGCCCCGTGGAGAAAAGCCCCCMGGTCCTGGTGCCGCTGTGCCTCCGGAGCGTCTTGGACTGCACCACTAAGGGGCTGTGCGAGCTGGAGAGCATCCCAGCCAGCTCCCTGCACGAGGAGGAGGAGGAGGAAGAGGAGGAGGAAGAGCTGGAAGGGGCAGGCTGCAACTGCTGCTGCTGCTCTCACASGAGCGCCCGTTCCCTGCAGGAGCTGCCGGGCTGGCTGGGTGAGTGGGTTTGGTTCAGATAGGGGATTGGAGAGGGGCTGGTGCCAGTGCTGTGGGCGGGGGAAATGCTGGGTGTTAATTGACAATATGGCATCTGACCACAGCAAACCCAGCTCTGTTCTCAGCAGGGCTCCCAAGAGCAGGCACATCCACCTGCAGTGCTACCAGGGGTTGAAAAGCAGAGAGTGCTAATTGGATATTAATGGCTTAGTGTGAAACTCTTGAGGGAATGATGCTTCCAGGGGTGCAAGCTGTCTGTGGAGTGTGGGGCCCCATGTGCGGAGCTGTGCCTCTGCTTCCTCGCAGCACCAGCCCTGGGGARCCCCGCTGATCCTTTAAGGAAAAGAGTTTTGGCCATGTCTAGCAAAATTACTGTGGAAAAAAAAATAGCAAACCCTTAAAAATTCAGTTCAAAAGTATCCTGAATGTTCAGAATTCCCTTTTACTGGGACTGAAACACAGATCCTTCTTGCTGGGGCTCTGAGTTTGAAGCTATTTTCTGGAGCTGGCCATAGTGCAAGTAGTAAGTGAATAAAGGAAACACCCACAGCCTTCTCCCAGAGTCATGCCCCAAACTCTTCTCCCACTTGTGTGGTGACCCCTCAGCTCACCACCCACTCCAGGTGACCGGCTGCCTCCTTCCAAACAGTAGCAGGGATGCAGTTTGTGCCTGAGCTGCCTTGAGCACTCCCCGCTAACACCGCTGCTGTCCCTGTCCCTGTCCCTGTCCCTGTCCCTGTCCCTGTCCCTGTCCCTGTCCCTGTCCCCGCAGACACCCGGCTCCCCTGGCCCATGCGGATTTTCCACCCGGCAGTCAGGGTGTGTAGGGGTCCCCAGGAGAAGCAGAGCGAGCTGCAGGCTCTCCAGCAGCTGCAGCGCCGCACCCGCCGCCACCGCACCATATTCACCGAGGAGCAGCTGCAGGCCCTGGAGACGCTTTTCCATCAGAACCAGTACCCGGACGTGGTCACCCGCGAGCACCTGGCCAACCGCATCCACCTGAAGGAGGAGAGGGTGGAGGTGAGATTCTGCCCCTTCCTGCCGCGGGAACACAGACCGGGGCACTGCGCTGTCTTTTTTGGGGAGCTGCAGACTCAGGGCCTCATTTTAAAAACCATCCTTGTGCGTTTGACAAAACAGAGTTGAAGTTTGGTGCGCAATAGGAGAATACAAAGCAGTTTAGCTGGGCTGGTTTGTACTGGTATCCAGACTCACAGATCCTCTCTCCCAGGATCACCTGTCACACACAAACACACCCAGCTCTGCTCATCCCCTGCACCCAAGTGTGTATTCCTTACCTGACTTCCCAACTGCCTTGTGCCCCTCACATGTATCTGAGCAAGACTGCAGCCCAGCAACTGCTTAAATTCTGTATCAAACTTTTATRTTGGGACTGGTATTACACTATCCTGCAGTTCAGGATGGTACAGCCAGGAGAGTCACTGTCTGGTCCCCCTCCTCGTGATATGTGAAATGCAAAAGTCCTTTTCTTGCTTTGAACTTTTCCAGGTTTGGTTTAAAAATCGCCGGGCGAAGTGGCGGCATCAGAAGAGAGCGACTGCCTCGGCACTGATGGTTCAGGGCCCCAAGCAGCCCCCCAAAGAGAGCTGTTAGTGCTCACAGGCTGCAGCTCAGCACAGCAACACCAACAGCACCCACAGCTGCCGGCTCTGGGAGGGTGTCACCCAACAGGGACTCATGGAGCAAAGGGAATCTCTGTGATTCAGAGGACAGATAAAAGCAGACATCATGGCACTTTCACATCCCTRTTCCAAACCTAGTTCATGCAGCAAACAACTCGGCATGATGTGCAGGGACGGAGCTGTACCAGTGTTAAATGTGTGTGCTKCAAGACACGGGGAGACTCCCCCTCTTGTCCTTGCTCTGTGAATGTAGTGTTTTTGCTCGGTTTACTGATGTAGATTTGCAAAATATCTTGCAAATGAATGTTTCCTGTCTGCAGCACCTCAGTGGCGTCCRGAGTTGCTTTTGGGGGTTGAATTTGCTGGACAGGTGATTTGTTACATAATAAAGAAATACATTTCTCCCCACARCCCTGGGGTGAGGTGATGCACCTGTTGTGGTGACAGGGGTGGTTCGCCTCAGCCCTGCTGCCAGCCGGGCCGTGTCACACTGACAGTGTCACACCGACAGTGTCACACCGAGTGGTGTCACAGCGACCGTGTCAGACTAAGCTGTGTCACACTGAGCCGTGTCACACCGAGCCGTGTCACACCGAGCTGTCACACCAACCGCGTCACACCGACCGTGTCACACCGAGCCGTGTCCATGCTCCGGGCAGGGCCAAGGAGAGCACAAAAACAGCTTGGGAACAGCCCAAGAGAGCTCCGAGATCAATAACGCGGCGCTGTTCCCTCTGCCCGAGCAGCCCCCCGGGTCTGTTCCGTGGGAAGCCCGGGCTGTTCCTGAGGGGCTCTGAAGAGACTGTGGGGGCATT